CTTTTTTTTTAATAAATGCAAACATACCAAAGAATGGATAAGTAATAGAGTTTGAGATTTCTGGCTACCAGAAGCTTTCCATTCTGTAGAACACAGCGTTCACGTCACATATATAAGGCTGATGCTTTTATTTTGTTTTAATAGTGATGGTGGTGGGGTGCTGAGCCCAGCGGAGTTAGGGAACATGCCCAAGTTCATACAGTTAGTACTTGAGAAAGCATGATGCTTTCAACCCTGCCCTAGTTACTTAACGAGTATATATACCATGGATAAGGCTGCAGACCATAACTAACCTTCATTTCCAAATAAATAAAGAAAAGGGAATTCAGGAGAAGGAGAATTAATGAAACAATAAGTGCAAATCACTCAGCCCAGTGTCTGGCACATGGTAACTTCTCAGTAAATGTTAGCAAGCATTGTTGCCCCAGTGTCAACTCTTTGAGGACTTTCTTTCAGAAAGAATATTAATGATGCATTATTTCTTGCCTGTGAGATGTGAAGTTATTGACTTATCACTGCTGGGCTTGGCATGTTGAGCCCTGTTTCTGTTTATTAATGTGATGAGGTTACTTGTGGTGAGGGAGTGTCCCCGCTGTGTGGTGGCAGTAATTATCAGTGTTGCTGTGAGGCTGCAGGAACCGATTGCTAGCAAAGGCTGGTTTCTTTCTTTTTCTTTAAAAAAAAATCCCATTACATAATTTAACAATCATTTTGTTCCATAGTGAGATGAAAAGAACTTAGCAGCCTTCAGCTAGAGCTGAATGGAGAAGCAAATTATAGAAACCACTGACATTAGTGCCTGGCTAGAGCAGGATTGTTTCCTACTGAATATTTGAAAGTATTTTGTCCAATCTAATTTTGAAAGACCGGAGTCACTGGGCTTCCACTGCTTTCCTTGGGAATTATAATTATGTGGCTAATAGAGCTCAATGGTGGGACATTTTCTCCAGCTGATACAGGAGCAATGGATGCATTTGTAGGAGGTCTGGTCACTGTGTTTTTCAAGGTAGGATTTGGAGAAGGGGCACAAACATGTTTTGCGCACTTGAGAAAATGTTCTTTTCTTTCTACCCAAAGATGTTTCTTTGGTCCATCCTGCTGCTGTTAAACCACAATTTACATAACTGAGATTTTCTTTAACTTTGTATTTATAGAGAATCCCCAAAATACACAAAAGTAGACAGAACAGTATAATATGCCCAAAACTAGCCCCAACAGTCATCAAACCAGTAGTCAATCCTGCCCCATCTACACAGCCATCTACTTCCTCCCTTCTATTATTTTGAAACAAATCTCATCATCTTAAAAAAAAAAAAAATCCGGGTAAAATACACACAGCTTGAAATTTACCATTTTAATAATTTTAAGGTGTATAATTCAGTGGGATTAAGTACACAATGTTGTGCAAACATCACCTCTGTCTAGTTCTAGAACTTTTTCATCACCCCAAAAGGAAACTCTGTACCCATTAAGCTGGAACTCCCATTCTTCCCTCCACCTAGTGCCTGGAAACCACTAATCTGCTTTCTGTCTCTGTGTATTTGCCTTTTCTGGATATTTCATATAAATGGATTCATACAATATTTAGCGTTTTTCCTCTGGCTTATTTCAGTAAGCATAATGTTTTCAAGATTCATCCAGCGTTGTATCATGCATCAGTACTTCATTCCTTTTCACAGCTGATAATACTCTATTGTATGCCTATACCACATTTTATTCATCTGGTGATGGACAGTTTGGTTAATTCCACCTTTTGTCTATTGTGAACAGTGCTGCTTTGAACATTCATGTGCAAGTTTTTGTCTGAACACCTGTTTTCCATTTTGGGGGGTATATACCTAGAAGTGGAATTGCTAGGTCATGTGGTATTTCTATGTTTTAACTTATTGAGGAACCATCAAACAGTTTGTCTCAGTTTACATTCCCTCCAGCAATGTAGGAGGGTTCCAGTTTCTCCATATTTTGCCAGCATATTATTTTCTGCTTTTTTTTTTTTTTTTTAATTATAGTCATCCTAGAAGGTGTGGAGTGATATCTCATTCTGCTTTTGACTCACGTTTTCCTAACGACTATTGATGGGGAACATTGTTAGCTATTTGTATATATTCTTCGGAGAAATGTCTATTCAAGTGTTTTGCCTGTTTTTAAATTGTGTTGTTTATACTTTTGTTGTTGAGTTGTAAGAGTTCTTTATACAATCTGGATACTAGACCCTTATTAGATATGTGATTTGCATATACTTTTCTATGGGTTGTCATTTCACTCTCTTGATAGTATCCTTCAGTGCACAAAATTTTTAATGTTGATGAAATCCAATTTATCTCTTTCTTTTGTTGTTTGTGCTTTTGCTGTCTTAGTTAAGAAACCATCGCCAAGTCCAAGGTCATGGAAATTTACCCCATGTTCTCTCCTAAGAGTTTTACAGTTGTAGCTCTTATAGTTAGGTCTTTGATCCATTTTGAGATATTTTTTGTATGTGGCATGAGGTAAGGGTTCAACATCATTCTTTCACATGTGGCTATCCAGTTGACCCTGTACTATTTGTAGAAGAAACTATCATCATATCATTTTATCCATAGTACTCCAGTATGTTTCTCTAAAATATAGGACCATTTTTTCAGATATCCACAGTACTATTATCACACTTAAAAAATGTCAACCACATTTCCTTAGTGTCAGCAAATATCTAGACTGTAGGCTGTCTCAAAAATTTTAGCAGCATTAAAAAAAAAAATCAGTATCCAGATAAGTTGCATCCATTGCAGTTTGTTGGTATATCTTTTTAAATGTTTTAAAATCTACAGATTTCCCCTCCATCTCTCTTTATCCTTCTTGATATATATTTGTTGAAGCAAATGGGCCATTTACCCTGTGGAGTTTTTTATTCTAGGTTTTGTTGATTATATCCCCATGATGTAACATGTTCCTCAGTCCTCTGAATTTCCTGTAAATTGGTAACTGGAAGTAGAGGCTTGATCAGATTTAGTTTTGGGTTTTTGTTTTGTTTAGTTTTTTTGTTTTTGGCAAGACTACTCCTGAGGTGATGTTGTGTTATTCTAATCAAGAAGCAAATCATAACTGGTTCTTTTTTTTTTTTTTTTTTTATGTTAGCAGTCACTGATCATCAGTGCCTAAATCCACTAGTTTATTAGAGGTTGTGAAATAATGATATTCTAATTCTATTATGTCTTCTTCACTTATTAGATGGAATGTTTGTTTTTCGTGAAGAGAAGTTTTACCTCTTATTACTTAATCACTGTGGTAAAACTTGTATAAGAAAGGCAGTGTAAATTCTTCATTCTTTCCCTTTATCTACCAGTCTCAATATAAGAAGTTGGTTCTTCATTTTCTTCAAACAGTGCCAATTATATTCTTTTTTTTTTTTTTGCGGTACGCGGGCCTCTCACTGTTGTGGCCTCTCCTCTCCCATTGCGGAGCACAGGCTCCAGACGCGCAGGCTCAGCGGCCATGGCTCATGGGCCCAGCCGCTCCGCGGCATGCGGGATCCTCCCGGACCGGGGCACGAACCCGTGTCCCCTGCATCGGCAGGCAGACTCTCAACCACTGCACCACCAGGGAAACCCCCCAATTATATTGTTTTTAAGGGGTGTCTTTATTAATGCATTTAGTTCAGCATATTTAATGTGTTTCAAGATATTGCAGTTCTTATTCTTACCAATGCTCAAATTATCCCATCTTTGGCCAGTGAGACCTCTTAAAGTTGATTCCTCAGTCCTTTCTAACATGATACTGTGGTCTTTGATAGCTTCCTGGCTCTCATATATGGTAATTTTACAACTCTTACTGGGTTGGAACGAGGTCTATTGTGGCATTTTCAAATTTCCTTACAAAAGCTCCTGATCAGTCTCCACCGGTACTCTGGAGAAGATTGGAGGGTTTCATTACCCTTTGTAAGATCATAAGAAGATAAATCAGAACAGACATTAGAAACTCATTCAGGAAACTCATTTCATGAGTTTTTATTGTTTCAACCAGACATGCAGAAAAAAAAGGGAACATTATTTCTGCCCAGAGATCTTACAGCCTGGTGGGGTATCTTTTAGGACCTGGTGACATGGTGCTGAGGTTAGGAATGTACGTTTGGACAAAGCCAAAACCATCAATGTGATTTCATTATGGCCCCGTATTAGTTCTGTTTCTAGTGTCAAATCAGGGATTGATTGCTAGTCATCTAAATTATTGTCACAAAAAGATGACTTTTGTGGCAGACTTTTTGAAGAAGAGGGAGAATGTATGGAGATGGATGTGTTTCTCTAAACCTAGAAAATGAATGTAAAAGCAAATGGATAGCTTTTCCTCTTCTAGTCTCTACTCCTCCATTAACTAAGGGAGCTGTTCATTTTCTGCCTATTTTATAAAGTTGCTGAGTACTGTAATGAGTTTATATTTATAGAGAACTTGGAGCTTTGGGGATGAAAAGTGCTAAATTAGGGCTTATTGTTTATTGAATTTATTTGATATGTCCAGCCTCCTGGGAACATTTGCTGAAGTTAATTAAAAACAGATAGTCCTCACTCTGACAGCTTAAAGTGCCACTTACAAGCCAGTAACATAAACAGTGTGCACTTGAATTGTTCTGACTTGGGATTGCCTAGACAACCACAGCTCTTTCAGACAGGGGAATGATGCTACTTTTATAGGAAAGTTGAGTTTGACCATTGGATAAAAACACAGGGCTATTCTCAACTACATCTGTGCCACCTAACTGCCCTCATTTAAAACAAATACTTAGAATATGAAGATTTTCCTAGTTTTCCAGCTATAATTTTCAGGTTGGAAAATTAAAAATAATCTTTCCTTTCTTTCATTTTGGGAAAAAATTAAGATAAAAATTTATGTTTTATATATCGTTTTATGGTCACTTTTTCTTTGCAGGAATGGCATTCCAGAGCAGCCAGGTGGGACACCTTATGCTTTCTTAACTCATTGGAAGCCGTGAAGTGTAATGATAATAATGGCATGTCTGCTTCCTTTGCCAGTTGGTGATGGAGTTTTGTGGTGCTGGCTCTGTCACTGACCTGATCAAGAACACGAAAGGTAACACGTTGAAGGAAGAGTGGATCGCGTACATCTGCAGGGAGATCTTACGAGTAAGTGACAACACGGGATACCTTGGGAGGTGTTGAACTTTGCACTGACCTTCCACTAATTTGTAAACGTGTGCACTCTCATTTGGAGGGTTAATTGGGTGATTTCTCTTCACCTGGGATTCATTTCCTATGGGGTTTCCAATTGGAAATCTGATTTTGGATCACAGAGATAGTGTCCCACTTAGGAAATGGATTGTTTAGGGATATTTTGATCACTCATTTGAGTTTTCCATTTGTGAAAGTTTATAACTAATTTAAGGCTTGTGTGACTTTAGCCATTTTAGTACATATAACCTAGTTTAATTGATTTTACCTTAAAAAAATTCTCTGAGACAATATCTAAAAGCAGTCAAGACAGTGGACAAGAATGTGCCCATTTGCCCGGTTTTGCCCGCAAATCGCACAATCAGACAACCTAGACAATAGTGTCATGTATTTGCTGAGTTCACTTCAGGGAGAAGGAGGTAATTGGTCATATTTTAGTTTGTTCAGATTAGTTTAATTATCTCTTGCTACTAATAAGGAGACTATTATATGTCCACTGAGCATTCTTACTAGATCTGCTTGGAAGCTATTTATTTACTTATCTATTTACTCTGCCTTCTTAGTATAAGGGAACAAAAGGTAAAACGGTTTGCATGATGTGTCCAAGATATGCCTTTGAGAGACAGATTATGTGCTGGGGAAGAAAGGAAAGGAGGGAGGGAGGAAGGCATTAAAAAACTATGTGTATCCCTTTAATTCAACCCACATTAGGAAAAAAAAAACAAATAGAAAATGAAATTTTAAAATGATAACACTTGTATTAGCATAAAAATTCAAATACTTAAAAATAAATGTACAGAAACATGTGAGTGATTTCTACACTGGAAACTACAAAATATTACAGACAAATTAAAGAAGACATTAATAAATAGAGGTGTATATACTATTTCATGAATTAGAACGCTCAATATTATAATGATGTTATTTCTCCCTAATCTGATCCTTGGTATCATTAAACTGCCTATCAAAATCCTTCTAGGTACATTTGTCGATCTTGACAAGCTGATTTTTAAAACATTGTATGGAAATACAAAAGGCCAAGAATAGCCAAGGCAATTTTGAGGAACAAAGCTGAAGTATTTATGCTGCCAGTTACCAGGACTTATTATAAAGCTGCTAAGTAATTTAAACAGAGTGGTATTGTCACAAGAATAGACAATGGCCAATGAAACAGAATGGAGAGTCCATGAACAGACCCACTCATACGGACACCTGATTTATGACAAAAGCAGTGCTGCAACACGTAGGGAAAGGGTCTTTTAATCAGTAAATAGTGCTTGATCAGTTGAATATCCATATAAAAACATGAAGCTTATACCTGCTTTATATCATATTTAAAAATTAATTCCAGGTGGATTATGGTTATAAGTACAAAAGATATAAAAAAATAAAGCTCTTAAGAGAAGATATAGGATAATACCTCCATGGTTTGGAGAAGGCAAAAAGATTTCTCAGAGCACAAAACAAAATTTGAGGGAAAAACAATGAGGTATGCTTGCTGAACTCCTTCAAGTCTGACATGTATCTCCAAGTATTGATGTGCCATTGTGTAAAGTTAATTTGGATTTCTGGTGTAGAATTTTACTCATTCAGGAAAGCATGACAGATTATTTAGTTATCCAGACCACCCCATGGGTGCCAAGAATCTACTGAGTCTCCAGGGCTGGTTCTGCCCACTCTGGCTTTCTGCACTCCTGGGTAACCCTACTGGGGATCAGTCACGTGATCTCCAGGGTTCTAAAAGCAGCAAGGATGTTTCACCCCATGAGTATCTCTCAATAGCTGGTTTTAAAACGTGTGAAAACATGGTTTTCTTCCTTCTTCCAATATGTTCTCCCAAATGATAATAGTGGTATTTGAGATATAGTGACTCATTGGAAGGGACATTTGATCACCCAAAGGTCCCTAGCCGCAAGAAGTTTCAGAGAAGACCCTCCATGCATTTTATGATCTCATTAAATACAACCTTTGGCTCACTTACATGCTGTGGTATCTGCTTCCAACCACTTTGATGGTAAAAGAAGGAAACGGATCTTCAGTCCCTCTTTTAAGGATTCATGGAGTGGTAATATGCTGTGAAAGCTATACATTTTAATCTATTTGATGCCTACCTCAAGCCAAATCGACTAGATAAAAAAGGTAATTTTGTAAGACCCAAACTAGTGCCTCAAACTGTCCTGTCTCATGGTTTATGTTTACTGATATTCCTAAACACAAACATGGATCTTTTGGGGCATTCATATTCTCATGCTGAATTTTCTCAACAAAAGGGGATTCAGATATCTAGTCCTTTTTTTTCTCTTTGTTTCAACTTCATCTTTCATACCATGGTTTTGTTATTGTGGAGAAAAAATTAAAACTACAGAAAATCATAAAGAAAAAACAACAACACTTGAATTAACAAGTGTTAGCATAAGATGATTTACTTCAGTACTCCATTTTTAGATTCTTTTAGGTTACAGTTTATCTGAGAAACATGAGACCACCTTAGAACAAGTCTGTAGGTTTTTGAACCCACAGCACACACACAAAAAAAACAAACCCAAATCAGAGTAATTCATGGAGAAATGGAACACAATCAGGTTGAGATGTCACTGAATAATTATTTCACATCATGAGCACAGAGTCACAAATATAAAGCACTAAAAATGACAGTGATGAACATTAACAAAGGAAATAGAAGTTGCTGTTTTCCTTTTTTAATGTGAGACATTGGCTAAAGCCAATGGGAAATTTCTTGGCTGGTCTGAGTAATATTTTATTGTACTTAATTCAAATTGTATAATAACTTTTAAATTCAAAAACTGCACAAAAAAAATGGAGGCTTAAGTTAAATCAGATTTCTGTACAGACTCTGTAGATATTACTGTTACCAACTGGCAAATACCGGTGGTCCTCACTATTCACAGTACTGTTAGCTGAAACATGTGCATGTTGAAACATGTGCATGTGTCATGGCCTGTGTGGTTCCTTGTTACCCGAGATAAAAGCTGATATACAAGTGTTTCATTTAACACCGTACCAGGCATTGCAATGACCACCTGTTTATTTCAGTTTATATTGATCATTGCCTGAAGTTTAGAACAAACAAACATTGTGCTCCATTTAGAACTATGACCACATGAAAGATATAAATAAAATAATGAAAGTATCTCTGGGTGAGTTTAAATTTTTTGGATCATTAACATCCAAAATAATTTTTTACATCTGGATTTATATTCCTATTAACCCCTCTCAACTCTCCTTCATTCCAGGGGCTGAGTCACCTGCACCAACATAAAGTGATTCATCGAGATATTAAAGGGCAAAATGTCTTGCTGACTGAAAATGCAGAAGTTAAACTAGGTAAGAACAGAATCCAGAGAGCCTAGGAATTGCAGAAAATGATAGGATTGTTTCAGCTGTTTTTTTTTTTTTAATAATGAATGTAAATTTGTTGCTGTGGATTTGGAGGTCATTGTACCTAGAATAGAAAGGAAAATGTTTCTTTGGCTATTTAAAAAAAAACATTTTCTAGGGCTTCCCTGGTGGCGCAGTGGTTGAGGGTCCGCCTGCTGATGCAGGGGACGCGGGTTCGTGTCCCGGTCCGGGAGGATCCCGCATGCCGCAGAGCGGCTGGGCCCGTGAGCCATGGCCACTGAGCCTGCGCTTCTGGAGCCTGTGCTCCGCGGCGGGAGAGGCCGCGACAGTGCGAGGCCCGCGTACCGCAAAAAATAAATAAATAAAACATTTTCTAAAAGCACTTTGAGGAGTGAATTGGTATACAGTATGGTAAGCAGATCCATGTGCTTAATCGATGTGTAGAAAGAATTGAGTTTGTTTTTTAAGCAAAGACCCTTTAGATTAGAAGTGACTGTCCTTGGAATGGTTTCCCCTATCTTACAGTTTGTTTATATTGTTGCTGCTATAACAATGATGAAATTTTTTTAATTAAACATATCCACAGTTAGACATTCATTATTTAGAAAAATGAATTCCTGCTATATTCCCATATGTTTTAAGTTATATTTACATGGATTTCATTATTATCTAGGGCACCTGTACAAAATGGATGCTCAGTATTCTACTTCACGTGCATACTAATTATCCCACTTCCATCTGCAGAGTTATCAGTGAGGGAACCCTTTTCTCTGATCTATTAGAGCCCTTCCCACAATAAGTCTGGGATTATCCAGATAAGGTAGAGAATCCCCACACGCATTTGACTACTTGATGTATATGAGTAAGAGCATAGATTGACAAATACTCTGTAGGATATACAATTTGTTTCCTACCAAAGAATCACTGTCCATATGATTGTTCATTTTCAAAGAGATTTAAATGTCTCCTATGGTTATATCCCAAACAGTTGCTCTTGCCTTTTTGTTAAAATATACACTTTCCGTTTTTTTCTTAGTTAGAATTTGGGGCCAAACTTTCATCTCATGAATATTCCCTTTTAAAACAAAAGCATACATTAGGTAGGGAAAGCAGTTATATATGTACTGACTACATAAGCTATCCTCAGAATATTCACTCATCACTAATTAACAGTTACTTGTTGAGAGAATATTATATGCCAGGTCCTGTACAAAATGCTTTTAGGTAGATGATCTCACTTAAACATCAGAGCAACACCATGTGAATCTCATCATCCTCATTTCATGGATTTGGAAAATGAAGCTCAAAGAGGTTGATCTAGTAGCCCTAGGTTGCATCACTAATAAGTGTCAGAAATGAGATGCAAATTTAGGCAGTCTGACTCCAGAAACTTAGCTGTTAACTACTTTCTTTGCATCCTCTAAATACTATCCTTTATGGCCCAAGCTTGACTTTTATTTAACACCTCTTTTTGGCCCCCCATGTAGCACTGATGTAACCAGATATAACCCCCTGTGCTTTTCTCATTGGTATGCTTTATCCATTTATACATGAAGTTTAAAAGTATACACTGACTAGAGATTATCATACTAACTAAAGTAAGTCAGACAGAGAAGGACAAATATCGTATGATATCACTTATATGTGGGATCTAAAAACATGATACAAATGAACTTATTTGCAAAACAGAAACAGACTCACAGACATAGAAAAAAACTTATGGTTATCAAAGGGGAAGGGTTGGGGGGACAGATAAGAGGTTGGGATTAACATATACACACTACTACATATAAAATAGATAATCAGCAAGGACCTACTGTATAGCACAAGGAACTCTACTCAATACTCTGTAATAATCTATATGGGAAAAGAATCTGAAAAAGGATAGATATATGTATAACTGAATCACTTTGCTGTACACCTGAAACTAACACAACACTGTAAATCAACTATACTCCAATATAAAATAAAAACTTTTAAAAAAATATATACATTCACAATAGTGAAAAGGAAGAAGCAACCTGAGTGTCCAACAGATGAATGGATAAACAAAATGTGGCACCTACATACAATAGACTATTATTTGGTCTTCCAAAAATTCAGAAGGAGGGGCTTCCCTGGTGGCGCAGTGGTTGGGAGTCCGCCTGCTGGTGCAGGGGACACGGGTTCATGCCCCGGTCCGGGAGGATCCCGCATGCTGCGGAGCGGCTGGGCCCTTGAGCCATGGCCGCTGAGCCTGCGTGTCCGGAGCCTGTGCTCCGCAACAGGAGAGGCCACAGCAAGTGAGAGGCCCGCGTACCGCAAAAAAAAAAAAAAAAAAAAATTCAGAAGGAGATTCTGATGCGTGCTGCAACATGCATTAACCTTGAGGATATTATGTTAGGTGAAATAATCTAGTCTCCAAAAGACTAATACTGTATGATTCCACTTATATGATGTATCTATAGTAGTCAGATCCATAGAGACATAAAGTAGAATGGTGCTTTCCGGGGGCCAGGAGCCCGGCGGGGTGGGGAGGGGAGGAGAAAGAGAAGTTAATGTTTAATGGCTACAGAGTTTCAGTTGAGGAAGATGAAAAAGTTCTGGAGTTGGATGGTGGTTATAGTTGCACAACAATGTGAATGCACTTAATACCACAAAACGGTCCACTAGAAAGTTGTTAAAATAGTAAATTTTATGTTATGTATATTTTACCACAGTAAAAAAAATACACATTCATTTTATCACTATGTAAGACCTTAGATGATAGACTTTATTCATTTGTCTTCCCTTAACTAGTGGACTTTGGAGTCAGTGCCCAGCTCGATCGAACAGTGGGCAGGAGGAATACCTTCATCGGGACGCCCTACTGGATGGCTCCAGAAGTTATTGCCTGTGACGAAAACCCAGATGCCACATATGATTTCAAGGTATGACTTCTTACTTCTTCATTACGTTTCGAAGCATGCCTAACACCTCACCCTAAGACTGGTAGAGAATTCTCTTATGGCTTTGGGCTTGTGATTTGTATAATCCAAAGGGAGAACTAAAAAACATTACTTGAGTTTAAAATTAGAAGACATCCAAGTGAGAATCTTTGTAATGAACTCATCCATCATATCTGATTGCCTATTGGTAAAAAATGTTTAAACCATTTTCTGTATTCTTTTGAACTTCTCTTGCTTCTTATTAGAAAACATTTCTATTTTGGTTATAGTTTAGATTTTTGGCAAAGTATATATATTCTGAGAGCTTTTCATGTTAAAAGAAATCAAGATATGAGTTTGTTTTTGGGGATCATCTTTTTCTGATTAAAAATAATCATATTTACTCATTTCTACATTGCTCAAAGTTTAATTATTAGAGTTTCTTTTCAATGAGAGAGAACCAAATGGGATGTTGGTAGCTACTTTATGGTGTTTCTGTAGCCTGTTGCAGTGTTTCATAGAAATCTGATTTATGGCTTGATACTTTGTACCATAAACTAGAAATATGCTAATAAATTCAAAGCAGTGTTTAAGTAGAGAGGTGGAAGTTGTCCCCTTCTCCAAGAAGCCCTCCTCTTTTCCATTCTGTTAGGCAATAATCAAACATAATTTGTGTTTACTATCCCATCGATAGCTGCAATGTCAGGTGACATTGTTGTTGTGAATTACAGCTGAAAGTTGAGACCTTAAGGTTGGAGGTAAATGAGATGTAGGAACTGTGGGTGTTCAGATTATCCAGTAGACAGAGAGACACCCTGTGGTCTCTGTGTAGATCACAGGACAACCTTGGGGAAAACCTGATAGTCATTTCATAGGTGAATGGACCTTTTTTTCAATTATTTGAGGTAACTTTGGTTTATAACATAAGTTTCATGTATACATTATAATTCAACTTCTGTATACTCTACAGCGTGCTCACCACCAGAAGTCTTGTTTCCTTCCATCACCATACAATTGATCCCTTTTCCCCATTTTGTGCCCCCTTTCCACACTGGTAACCACCAATCTGTTCTCTGTAACTATGTGTTCGTTTTTGTTTTGTTTGTTCATTTCTTTCTTTTTTTCTTAAATTTTTTTTATTGAGGTATAGTTGGTTTACAATGCTGTGCCGATCTCTACTGTACAGCAAAGAGACTCAGTTATACATACATACATATTCTTTTTTATATTCTTTTCCATTATGGTTTATCACAGGTAATGGAATATAGTTCCCTGTGCTATACAGTAGGACCTTATTGTTTATCCATTCTAAATGTAATAGTTTGCATCTACCACCCCCAAACTCCCAGTCTATCCCTCTCCCTCCCCTCTCCCCACCCTCTCCCCCAGCCTTGGCAACCACAAGTCTGTTCTCTATGTCTAGGAGTCTGCTTCTGTTTTGTAGATAGGTGCATTTGTGCCTTATTTTAGGTTCCACATATAAGTGATATCATATGACATTTGTCTTTCTCTTTCTGACTTACTTCACTTAGTATGATAATCTCATGTTGCATCCATGTTGCTACAAATGGCCTTATTTTGTTCTTTTTTATGATTGAGTAGTATTCCATTGTATATATGTACCACGTCTTCATCCATTCATCTGTTGGTGGACATTTAGGTTGTTTCCATGTTTTTGCTATTGTGAACAGTGCTGCTATCAACATAGGGGTGCATGTATCTTTTTGGTTTTTAACATCTTTATTGGAGTATAATTGTTTTACAATGGTGTATTAGTTTCTGCTGTATAACAAAGTGAATCAGAAGCTGGGACGAAGTGAGAGAGTGGCATGGACATATATACACTACCAAATGTAAAATAGATAGCTAGTGGGAAGCAGCCACATAGCACAGGGAGATCATCAGCTCCATGCCTTGTGCCCACCTAGAGGGGTGGGGTAGGATGGGTGGGAGGGAGACTCAAGAGGGAGGAGATATGGGGATATATGTTTATGTTCATTTATTTCTTATATTCCACATATGAGTGAAATCATACAGTATTTGTCTTTCTCCATTTGACTTATTTCACTTACCATAATAGCCTCAAGGTCCATCCATGTTGTCACAAATGGCAAGAGTTCATCTTTTTATGGCTGAGTAGTATTCCATTGTGTGTGTGTGTGTGTGTGTGTGTGTGTGTGTGTATGTATATATATATCACATCTTCTTTATCCATTTATCCATTGATGGGCACTTAGGTTATTTCCATACCTTGGCTATTGTGAATATTACTGCAGTGCATATATCTTTTCAAATTAGTGTTTTCATATTCTTTGGATAGATACTCAGATGTGGAATAGCTGGATCATATGGTAGTTCTAGTCTTAATCTTTTAAGGATCTCCCTACTGTTTTCCATAGTTTCTGCACCAGTTTACATTCTCACCAGCAGTCTACAAGGGTTCCCTTTTCTCCTCATACTCTCCAACTCTTTGTTATTTCTTGTTTTTGTTTTTTATAATAGCTGTTCTAACAAGTGTGAGGTGATATCTCATTGTGGTTTTGATTTGCAATTCCCTAATAATTAGTGATGTTGAACATCTTTTCATGTGTCCGTTGGTCATCTGTATGTCTTCCTTGGAAAAAATATATATCATCTCCTCTGCCCATTTTTTCAATTAGATTGTTTGGGGGTTTTTTGTTGTTGAGTTGTATGAGGGTTTTTTTGTTTGTTTGTTTGTTTTGTTTTTTTTTTGCAGTACGCGGGCCTCTCACTGTTGTGGCCTCTCCCGTTGCGGAGCACAGGCTCCGGACGCGCAGGCTCAGCGGCCATGGCTCACGGAGCCAGCTGCTCCGCGGCATGTGGGATCTTCCCGGACCGGGGCACGAACCCGTGTCCCCTGCATCGGCAGGTGGACTCTCAACCACTGCGCCACCAGGGAAGCCCCAGTTGTATGAGTTTTTAATATTTTGGATATTAACCTTTTGTAGGATATATGACTTACAAATATCTTCTTCTATTCAGTAGGTTGCCTTTTTGATTTGTTGATGGTTTCCTTTGCTGTGCAGAAGCTTTTTAGTGTGATGTGGTCCCACTTGTTTATTTTTGCTTTTGTTGCCCTTGCCTGAGGAGACATATTCAAAAAGATATTGCTAAGGCTGATGTCAAAGAGTGTACCACCTATGTTTTCTTCTAGGAGCTTTATGGTTTCAGGTCTTATATTCAAATCTTTAATCCATTTTAAGTTAATTTTTCTGTACCATGTAAAATGGCAGTCTAGTTTCATTCTTTTGCATGTGGCTGTCCAGTTTTCCCACCACATTTATTGATGAAACTTTCCTTTATCCACTGTACATTCTTGGCTCCTTTGTCTTAATTAGTTGTCTGTATGTGTGGAGGGCTCTCCGTTCTGTTCCATTGATCTGTGTGTCTGTTTTTATGCCAATACTCTGCAGTTTTGATCACTATAGCTTTGTAGTATAATTTAAAATCAGGGAATATGATAACCCCAGCTTTGTTCTTTTTTCCTCAGGATTGCTTTTCAGGATCTTTTGTGGTTCCATACAAATTTTAGAATTTTTAATTCTGTTTCTGTAAAAAATGTCACTGGGATTTTGACAAGGATTATATTGAATCTGTAGATTACTTTAGGTATATGGACATTTTAACAATGTTAATACCTCCAATCCATGAGCACAGAATAGTTTTCTATTTCTTTGTGTCTTCTTCAATTTCTTGAAACAATGTCTTATGGTTTTCAGTAACAGTTTTCACCTCCTTGGTTAAATTTATTCCTAGATATTTTATTCTTTTTGTTGCAATTGTAAATGAGATTTTCTTAATTTCTCTTTCTGCTAGTTTGTTAGTGTATCAAAACACAATAGATTTTTGTATATTTATTTTGCGACTTCACTGTATTCGTTTATTATTTCTAACAGTTCCTTTAGTAGTGTCTTTAGGATTTTCTATGTGTAAAATCAATAGAAACCCAATGTCATCTGCAAATAGTGACAGTTTTACTTCTTCCTTTCCAATTTGGATGCATTTTATTTCTTTTTCTTGCCTATCTGCTCTGGCTAGGACTTCCAATACTACGCTGACTAAGAGTGTAAGAGTGGTGAGTGGGCATCCTTGTCTTGTTCCTGATTTTAGAGGGCTAGCTTTCAGGTCTTGACCACTGAGTATATTAGCTGTGGGTTTGTCATAGATGGCCTTTGTTATGTTGAGGTACGTTCCTTCTATATCCTTTTTTTTTTTTTAATACAAATGGATGTTGAATCTTGTCAAATATTTTCCTTGCATCTATTGAGATGATCATATGATTTTTATCCTTCAGTTTGTTGATATGGTGTATCACATTGATTCCAGATGTTGACCCTTCCTTGCATCCCTGGAATAAATCCCACTTGATCCTTTTAATGTGTTGTTGTTTTGGTTTTTTAATACTTTGTTGAGGATTCTTGCATCTATGTTCATCAGAGATATTGGCCTGTAGTTTTCTTTTTTTGTCTGGTTTTGGTATCAGGGTAATGTTGCCCTCGTCAAATGAATTAGGAAGTGTTCTAGCCTCTTCAGTTTTTTGGAAGAGTTTGAGAAGTTTAGGTATGACATCTTTGAATGCTTCATCAGTGAAGCCTCGTGGTCCTGAACTTTTGTTTGGGGAGATGTTTTTGGTTACTGTTTCAATCTCCTTACTAGTGATTGGTCTACTCACATTTTTTATTTCTTTGTGATTCAGTCTTGGAAGGGTGTATGCTTCTAAGAATTTATCTATTTCTTCTAGACTGTCCAATTTGTTGGCGTATAGCTGTTCATAGTAGTCTCATGATTCTTTGTATTTCTATGGTATCTGTTGTAAGAGAAATGAACTTGTCTTTCATTTCTGATTTTATTTATTTGAGCCTTCTCTCTTATTTTCTTCGTGAATCTAGCTAAAGGTTTGTCAATTTTATCTTTTCAAGAACATAGGCACATGGACTTTTCTTTCTTTCTTTTTTTTTTAAACGTTTTTATTGGAGTATAAT